AATTTCTTTGAGTGATTGATTGCCCATCCAAGTGTGGGTCCAAAAGAGAGCTTTTACTCCAAAATTTACTTTTGAACCTTATAAAAAGGCATGAGAAACTCTCACAACTGTAAGAGTTTCTGAAAAATCCACAGGAGACTGCGGCTCTTGGGTTCCTATCAGGAAAACAGCCCAGCGGATCAGTGCCACATTTCTAGAGTACCTAGCACCAAAAAAATTTATGGTTGGTCCGTTAGTGGTAAGTGCCACCATGATTTGCCAATAAGGATCCAATTTTGAGTAGGATTGAGTCAAGGATTGCCCAGTTGACATGGTCATTAGTCTTTTCCCAGTCCAGTTTCAAAGTAAATCCAAGCTTTTTTATTTGGTGCCTATAATGTAAGGCTTTGTGAGACCAAGGGCTTCATAGAAGATATGCCTATTATTAACATAACCATTAGAGTTTTTGGAAATGACTTGATCCAAGGCAGTTTTAAGCCTAAAGGCAAGGACCTTGGAGATGATTTTATAAGTGGAGCTGATGGTCTTTCCCTCAACTTTGGGGATGAGGGCAATGAAAGTGGCATTCATTTCTTTGTTGATGATGCTTTTGTGGTAAAAGTCATCGACAAAAGGCTAAGAAAGGTTAGCAAAGTTGGAGTTCAAGGTAAGGAATGAGAGGTTAGCAAAGTGAGAACGAGCCCCTGATTGGACATAATACAGACTTTAGAGAAAGGATATAGTGACAAAGTCCACCACATTGGGTTCAACAAACAAGTTTTGACCATTAGAGATTTTGGCATGGAGTTGGCTCGACAACTGCAACTAGCTATTCTATGAAAGAAAGCTGTATTTTTGTCACCCACTCCTAGCCGCTTGACTGTGGATCTTTGATACCAGTAAATCCCTTTTTGAGAATTTGGAGGTATACTCGGATTTGGCATCCTTCCTCCTTTCCTTTGAGTCTCAACAGTTGATCGATTTCTGGTCTCTTTTGGAGAGTCAAGATCCTTAATTTCTGTGTGAAGGGAGGTTTCGAGGCATCCAAAGTTGATAGGTTTTGTTCTACTCCACTCTTTACTTGTTTGTTTGAGCAAGCGCATCTTTGAGTCTAAAGCCGACCCACCCATTGGCAGACGACCACCACCAGTTGCAAACCAGGTTGTCGGAAGAGGGGTCTTCTAGCCAGATTAGTTCGAACCTAAAGAGTTTAGCACCAGTGGCGATTGGTAGGGTTTCTAGAAGATGTGTTTGCCAGAAGTTGGCCTGGCCAAGTAGGAGTGGGTGCCGAGGAACTTATCATCCCTTTAGGAGGATATCAGAATGTGGTCGAGCTTGCCAAGGGTCGGTTGGAGGAATGCTTGGACAAAGTATAGGAGGAGCCATTAAGGGTTATGTCGATGAGATTGTTCTCTGAAATGAAATCCAATAAAGGTAACATACAAGCAGTGATTCTGAAGTTTCAGCTGGACTCATACAACTGTCTGAGAACATTGAAATCTCCACCGAGGACCCAAGGATTGGGAGGGGACTTGACCACCAAGTTAAGCTTGTTCCACAAGACTTGCTTAGGATTGGGTCTATTATACATACACTGCCATGAACTTCCACGAGAAATTGTTAGGGGTTCTGGTGAGGTATATTCAATAGACCCTTGTAGAGCTAGAACAGAGAATATGGATGGAAGGGTCCTAAAAGACCCATATTCCTCTTGAGGTTCCTAAAGCTTCTAAGGCAATCCACTGGCAGGTTCATCTACCTCAAATGCTTCTAATGTCGGAAAGTTGAGCCAAAGAAGATTTTGTTTTTGAGATGGCTTTGATTTTTTGAGTTTATTGGGTAGAGAAAGTGAGAATTGTTACTTCTTTTGGGGATCGTCAATCCCCCAAATGTTCCATGTGATAATCCTCATTTGGGAGGATGGGAGAATAAAGTGAGTGGCCTTGGGTGGCGTGTGGGAGAGTGGATGTTGGGAAAGGAGGAAGATGTCGAACTCTGGGGGAGTTGAGCATCATAGTTTATGTTGGTTGAGGAGTTGGCGTAATACCCTTACTCCTTACCTGAACCGTGTTGTTCTGAATGATTTCCTAGAGATCAGTGGCAGTTCCATTGTAGCCGAAGCCATTTCTTCCAACATCTCGAGCTTGGACTCATCATGATCTCCTCCTCATTAACAATCTAGGCTGATTCTCAGGGCAAATCCTCTTGGCGGAGGGGGAGGGGGGGAGGCCTCTCAGGGACAAGGTTAGATGTGTGAATTTGTGCTCTAAAAATTGGGGACAGTAATGAGTGTGGAGAAATGGGCAATTGATTGGTAGAGAGTAGAGACTGGCTGGAAGGAGGGGTTGGGTGGCCAAGATGGGGGAATGAGGTCGGGGGCATGGGAAACAAAGGAGAGACTAGGCAGCGGTGGTGGTGAATAATAGTTAAGAACATGGATTACTTTGGGTGGGAGGAAACTTCCCGTGATTTAGAACTCAAAATTGTTGCATGTTAGATCTTCGATTAGGGTTGTGTTCTCAAGACATGTACTTCATGGCGCTACAAGGCACCATGGATCTAACATATCCGTAGGGCCAAAAGTACCACCTATCTAGTAAATCAGTGGCACTATGGCATTTTGTCATCCTTTTGAACCCATGTAGGTCATTTCTCTTATTAATATGATATAATATAATATTATTATAACATGATATTATATAAGAGAAATGATCTTATAGGAACCCCCCTTCCCCCCACCTATGTGTAGGACCCCAAAAGATCACCATGTGATAATTTTTCTAGAGAAGTCAAGTCCCACACCCATGTGATAATTTTTCTAGAGATCCATGTCAACTTTAATGGTTATCCTTTAGGGTCTTATACACATAAGTGGGGGAGGGTCTTATAGGATAATTTTTCTAGAGATCCAAATTTTTCTATAAATCTATAGAAAAGTCAAGTTCTACACCCATGTGATAAATTTTCTAGAGATCCATGTCAACTTTAATGGTGATCCTTTAGAGTCCTACACACATAGGTGGAGGAGGGTCCTATAGGATCATTACTCTATTAATAATATTAATATTATGTATTTACATTATGCATAGTGAATAGTGATCAACAAAAAAGTTCTGAAAGATCAAGTTCTTAAACCCCCTAAGAATTTAATCTTTCACTTTTTAACAAAGAATGGGAACTTTTGTTGAAAGATTAGTTTTGAACTTTTCATGGAAAGTGTGAAACAAATGTAGAACTTTTTCAAAAACTGAAAAAATACTTTCATAAAAACAAATACACCCTAAAAAATGCCCACTGACTTCCCCCTTTTCGCTGAAGCACACAAGCACTTGTCTTCCATAGCCAACCCAAAAGAGGGCTCCAAAATAAATATCATAACAATGGTTTTATGCTTTTTCAGAAACCTCTAGATTCGTAGTAAACACTTTTTTGCCTACTTTGATACTTCGCCTACATTCTCTCTCTCTCTCTCTCTCTA